CACTGTTAGGCAGCACTGATGGGTGGCACTGATGAGGAGGCACTGATGATGGGCACTGATAGTCAGCACTGATAGGCGGCACTGATGGGCAATGACTGACAGCACTACTAGGCACTGCTGGGCAGCACTGATGGGTGGCACTGATGGGCACTTGTAGGTGACACTGGTGGGTGGCACTGCTGGGCACTGATCATCAGGGCACTGATGATCAGTGCCGATCCCTCCTCTGACAACTGCCGTTTCTCGGCACTACTTTCCTCACACTGTCACAGCGTGAGGAAAGTGCAGCCGAGACCCGGCAATTGCTTTTCCTGGTGATCAGCATGTCATTGGACACGGCTGATCATGTGGTAAAAGGCTGCTGTGATTGGCCTCTTACCACATCACATGATCAGCTGTGTCCGCAGGAGAGCGCGTTCTGGGAGGACGTCATAGGACACCCTCCCAGACCTGGCCGGCCGGAGTGAAGCCGTCATTCTCGGTCGGCAAGTGGTGATGCTCTGTAGTCCACACAGAGATTGTCAATACCATGGCTTGAGATTTCAGTGCAGCAAGTTATCAGATCACAAGATTTCAGGCAGGATCAACAGGTCATTTTTCCCATCAGTTTTTACCCATTCCCTACTTTCGGAAAAAAAAAAAATTAGCTTTAGGTATACTTTAAACACAAACATTAGCCACAAAAAGTATCGCAGGATCTAAACATAAAAAAAAATCTAAAAATAGATTTAGCATTAGGTACACTTTAACCATTAAAAAAAAAAATCCATTTAAAGTGCTAAAGTATCCTTCAATAAAAAAAATAAATAAATAAAACATAAATATAGTATAAAAATAGTTTAAGCTTTTCCCTCTAAACATGAAAAAAAAAAATGAATGAAAAGTACTGCAGTGTCCAAAAAGGAAAAAAAAATTGTTTAAGTATTAGATACACTTTAACCACAAAAAAATCCATTAAAAGTACTAAAGTATCCATAAATAAATTTAACAAAAAACATAAAAATAGCTTCAGCTTTTCCCTCTAAACGTAAGCAAAAAGAATGAAAAGTATTACAGTTTTCAAAAAAGAATAAAAAATAGTATTAGATACACTTTAACTACAAAAAAAATCTATTAAAAGTACTAAAATATCCATAAATAAATATATAAATAAATAAATAAATAAAAATAGCTTCAGCTTTTCCCTCTAAACATTAAAAAAAAGTACTACGGTATGTACTCAAAAAACAAAAATGAAATAAATTAGTATTAGATACACTTTAATCACAAAAAAAATCCACCAAAAGTGCTAAAATATCCATAAATAAGTAAATAAATAAAAAAAAAAAAGAATGAAAAGTCCTGCAGTATCCAAAAAGAAAAAAATAGTTTTAGTACGGGATACACTTTAACCACAAAAAATCCAAAAAAAGAAAATACATGTAAACATACATAAAATAGTTTTAAGTTTAGATACATTATAAACCTAAAAAAAACAATTAAAAGTATTGCAGCATCTGAAACAGGAAAAAAAATCATTAAAAACAACCTATTAAAAAAAACTTTAAAAAATTAATAAAAAAAATTGCAGTATCCAAAACAGAAAAAAGTAATTAAAAAAACCCCTAAAAAATAAAGTAAAAAAAAAGTTTAAAAAAAAGGATTCAAAGTATTGCATTATCCAAAGCAGAAAAAGGTAATAAAAAATGAAATAAAAAAGACTTTTTAAAAAATGGATTATAAAAGAATTGTAGTATCCAAAACAGAAAAATTAATTTAAAAAAACCCTAAAAATAAAATAACATAAATCTTTAAAAAATTAATTAAAAGTATTGTATTATCCAAAACATAAAAAGTTAATAAAAATATAAAAAAACTTAAAAATTAAATAAAAAAGGCTTTTAAAAAAATAAATCAAAAGAACTGCAGTATCCAAAACAGAAAAAAAGTAATAAAAAATCCCCTAAAAAAAAATTTAAAAAAGCTTTAAAAAATGAATTAAAAATATAGCATTATCCAAAACAGAAAAAAGTCATAAAAATTAAAAAAAACCTAAAAAATAAAATAAAAAAAGGCTTTTTAAAAAAAATGAATCAAAAGAACTGCAGTATCCAAGACAGAAAAAAAGTAATTACAAAAAAAAACTAAAAAATAGAATAAAAAAGCGAAAAAAAAAAGAATAAAATGTATTGCAGTATCCAAAACAGAAAAAAAACTAATAAAAAAATAAAAAAAACCCTAAAAAAAAAAAGTAAAAAAAAGCTTTTTGAAAAAATGAATCAAAAGAACTGCAGTATCTAAAACAGAAAAAAAAAAAGTAATCACAAAAAACCCCCTAAAAAATAAGATAAAAAAGCGAAAAAAAAAAAAAAAATTAAACGTATTGCAGTATCCAAAACAAAACAAAGTAATTAAAAAAAAAAAAAGTAAAATCTAAAAAAAAGCTTTAAAAATAAAACAAATTAAAAGTATGGCAGTATCTAAAAAAAAAAAAAAAGAAAAAAGAACTGTTTTGGCTTTGAAGGCATATTAAATAATTAATTAATATTACACAATAATTTATATATTGCAGCCTCTCTTTTAACATTTTATTATTATTATTATTATTATTATTATTATTTTTTATTTTTTCATTGGAAGTATATTCCCTTCATCTGCTATTCCTAAACAGGGGAGTTGGTCTGGAGAGCGAGGCCGTCTTATTTACATTGTTTATTCATTAATATCCGTAATTATGTTCCACCGTAGCTTTGCCCCGCGCGGTTTATTCCTAATTTCTCTGTAATAGGTGGAGCGGAATATTTAATACGATCCGCGATGATTTGGTTTTGCTGTCACTCCAGGATTTCAGATACGTGACATCATTATAGATCACGAATAATTTAGCAATAAAACAAATGGAGCGTGCGCGAATTACTCACCAAAAAGTCTTCATACTTAGAGCCCCGGGGTTAGGCTGCGATGATGGAGGGGATAGTAACGCCGCGGAATCAGTGGGGGTTGTAGACAGAGCCGATGAGCGAGGCCAGTAGGATGGATAAAAATGGCCATATTTATTCATAAAAAATAAAAAAAAAAAAATTTTGAGGATCCAGGTCGAGCCCTGGATCCTCAAAATTCAGTCTCATTAACCCCAGCATTGGCGGGAATTTTAAAATATGACTCACCCGGGTGCAGGGTGGGGGAATTGTAGTATCCAAAACAGAAAAAGTAATAAAAAAAAAAACCCTAAAAAATTTAAATAAAATAAAGCTTTAAAAAAGATGAATGAAAAGTAATGCATTATCCAAAACAGAAAAAAAGTAATAAACAATTAAAATAAAGCCTTAAAAATTAAATAAAAAAAGGCTTTTTTCAAAAATAAATTAAAAGAATCGTAGTATCCAAAAACAGAAAAAAGTCATAAAAAAATCCTAAAAAAATAAAATGAAAAAAAAGCTTTAAAAAATGAATGAAAAGTATTGCATTATCCAAAACAGAAAAAAGTAATAAAAAAACTAAAAAAATAAAAAAAGGGCTTTTAAAAAAATAAATTAAAAGAATTGTAGTATCCAAAAACAGGAAAAAAAGTAATAAAAAAAAAACCCCTAAAAAATAAAATAAAAAACAGCTTTAAAAAATGAATGAAAAGTATTGCATTATCCAAAACAGAAAAAAGTAGTAAGAAATTAAAAAAAAAAAAAACTAAAAAATTCAATAAAAAAAGGCTTTTTAAAAAAATAAATTTAATGAATTGTAGTATCTAAAAACAGAAAAAAAAGTAATAATCCCCCCTAAAAATAAAATAAAAAAGCTTTAAAAAATGAATGAAAAGTATTGCATTATCCAAAACAGAAAAAAGTAATAAAAAATTTAAATCACCTAAAAAATTAAATAAAAAAAGGCTTTTTTAAAAAATAAATAAAAAGAATTGTAATATCCAAAAACAGGAAAAAAGTAATAAAAAAAAACCCTAAAAAAATAAAATGAAAAAAAGCTTTAAAAAATGAATGAAAAGTATTGAATTATCCAAAACAGAAAAAAGTAATACAAAATTAAAAAAAACCTAAAAAATTTAATGAAAAAAAGCTTTAAAAAATGAATTAAAAATATATGCCTTCACAAGCCCAGATATTATCATGTAAAAGTAGCAAAAGTGACGTCATCACTCTATTGTACATAGCCCAAGGGAGGAACTCAGCAGGCACCGCCCACTAGACACAGAAAACTACAGGAGGGAGGGGGGGGGGACAGGACCAGTCACCCTGCACTAGGGGAGGTTGGATGAGGCTAGGTCACATGCAGAGCTCCCTCTAGTGTTTATTCAGTGAATAGTCCATTGTAACGTTGTGGCAGGTCTGCATTGCAAAAAGTAAGGTTTTTAAAGGGTTGGTCATTATTCATTGCTTACAGTAAAAAAAAAAAAAAGAAAAAAAAAAGTCCTTTAACCTCCCTAGCGGTCTGATTATGTTCATATTTCTGTGCTCAAAGCGGTACATTTTTTTGCATGGAAATATGTATTTTTTTATTGTAGGCCTGTAATATTTAGGAATAACTCACTGAAATCTGTCCGAACAAGAGTCTAGTAAACATCCCGGGGAGGATAAAGTTTGAAACACGAAATCATAAATTATAATATAATAAATAATCATAAAAAATAATAATAATATAATAATAATAAATGTAATTGAATAATATAATCAAACCAAAAACACTGAAATGTGAAATAGAGCGCCAAGTTCGCACATCGCTGAGCAAAGTCGCAGAATCGTTTTCAGTGTCTGATGAGGAATTTCCCCCACCAATCATTATCACTCAATTCTGCAAGTGGTTCTGATTTACTATCGCTGTTCTCTAGCCGGTCTAAAACCGCGTCTGACCTAAAGGGACGCTTTTTGGACGCCATGGACATTTCTCAGTTTCCAGGCAGAAAGAACAGTAAAAATGCAGGCAGGGCGCCGGACAAAGCACTCGGGACACAATGTATGTGAAATGGTTTGATACAGGAATGTTATACTATGTGATTTTAGTGTATTTAGTGAATGTCACTTTTACAACTTTCAAATTTCCCGCCATTCCGTCCCCCGTACGTCCCGACGTCGCAGGGAACGGAACCCGGAAGACAGATGCCGGCATCAGCCGGAGGACATTACAGGGGACACTGCAGGAGGGACATCACGGGAGCGCAGGACAAGGTAAGTGATCGAGGGATCCCGGAGCAACGCTGCAGTGTATTCCCGAGTGTAGCTCGGGGGGGTCACCGCTTGTGGTGCTGAAACTTTACCCCGAGCTACACTCAGGAATACCACCAGGGGGGTTAATATATAATGCAGGGGGGGGGGGTGTCCCCTTAAACTACCTGCAAAGTTGCACATCTGTACAATGTATAGAGAAAAAAAAATCACCATGGGCCCCCCCCCCAATCCATACCATACATTTTAGGTCAAGAAAGAAGGTTAGGAGGGACCCCACAGTAAAAAAAATGCCCCCCCCCAAAAGCCATATCAGGCCCTTTAGACCTGGTAAGACTTTTAAGGGGAACCCCATCCCATTGCTGGTGTCAGTGGGAGGAATTGTTCCCCATTGTTGGTCTCAGCTGGAGGAATTACACCCCATTTGGTGTCAGTGAGAGGAATAGTGCCCCATCATTGTATCAGTGGAGGAATTGTTCCCCATTGTTGGTGTCAGTGGAGGAATTGTTCCCCATTGTTGGTGTCAGTGAGAGGAATTGTTCCCCATTGTTGGTGTCAGTGGGAGGAATTGTTCCCCATTGTTGGTGTCAGTGAGAGGAATTGTGCACCATTGTTGGTGTCAGTGGGAGGAATTGTGCACCATTGTTGGTGTCAGTGGGAGGAAATGTGCACCATTGTTGGTGTCAGTGGGAGGAAATGTGCACCATTGTTGGTGTAAGTGGGAGGAATTGTTCCCCATTGTTTGTGTCAGTGGGAGGAATTGTGCCCCATTGTTGGTCTCAACTGGAGGAATGATGTCCCATTTTTGGTGTCAGTGAGAGGAATTACGCCCCAAGGGCAGATAACAGCAAGAAAAGGCCAGCATCCAACCCCCTGCCGCAGTTTGGAGACCACTGCTCTATAGTATTCCCGTAGACTCCTCCCCCAGCACCCCCCTAAAGGGTTATGAAGGAAGATGAGAAGTAGGGTGGAGGAGCTGGGCCAGCACAGACAGTCACTGGACATCCCGGAAAAGAGAAGAGGGCTCTGCTGGGCAGACAAGGCGAGGCCTGCGCTAGGGAACCTACTCTTCCTGGAGTAATTCGATGTCCTGTAAATTATTCGGAATCCCCAATTCATGACAAAATATATATCAACCAAACTTGTGAAGAATCAAATAATCCAAAAAAGTCACAATTTCACCCTTGAGAGTAAATAATATTCTAAACCTTTGTTTGTGTCAGTCAATGTGTATAATAAAATAATAAATAATGTCCAAAATAAATAAATCCTCCGCATCCAACTTCAATATTCCGTCAATCCAGATCAGGTGAGCGGCCATTTTGACTATTGGAAAATCTTGAAAAAAACGTTCCAGGAAGCTGCTCAGGCTGAGTCATGGGAACTTACTGATGGTTTTTACTATCTCTAATGTAAGCATGTATGCAGGGGCGGACTGATCATTTGGAAACTCGGGCACTGTCCGGGGGCCTGGGGTCAGTAGAGGGCCCCATGAGATGCCCCTGGTACCTTTTTCATAGGCTTTTTTGAGTGTGGGCAAGGACACAGGGGCCCCATGATCCCCTATTGCCCGGGGGCCCCATGAGTTGTCAGTCCGCCCCTGGGTGTATATTAAATGTTTATTCACCCGCTATACTGTGTTACATGGACTCCCTTTAAGGATTGGATCCCCATACACAGCAATCTGGAGTCTGAGAAGTGACTACCACACCCGAGTGTTCTCTGTGAAGGCTTGAAATTATGCCGGCCATAGACGGGTCGAAAACAGGTGATTAAAAACAAAAAAAAAAATCATTCGTTCAATAGGCCGACGTTACCACCAACGCTAAAAAAATCGGCCGATTTTCGTCCCGTCTACGGCTGGCATTTAATTACTTCTGTCCCTGCAGAGAGCTCCGCTATTATATTTGACATGAAAAAGTCTTGCAGTTGCAACAATGTATCCATTTGTATCCATTTGTATCCATTTTGGATACAGATGGTTTTATTTGGATACAAATAGATACATTGTTGCAACCGCAAGACTTTTTCATGTCAAATATAATAGCGGACTGGAATTCTTCTTCTTCTTCTTTTCTTCTTCTTCTGCTTCTTTTTATTCTACTTCTTCTTTTCTTCTTCTTCTTTTTCTGCTTCTTTTTCTTCTTTTCCTTCGTCTTCTTCTTCTTCTTCTTTTTCTTCTACTTATTCTTCTGCTTCTTCTTTTTCTCTTCTTCTTCTTTTTCTTCTTTTCTACTTCTTGCAGGTCACAGCTCATGCGCAAATTTTTTATCGGTAAAACGATCGGCTGATTTGCCCATCATTGCCGGGAAAATCGGGCGATCGGCAAAATCGGCCGATTTTTTTCCAACTTTATCGATCAAAAAAATGTGCCAAAACCCCAAAAAATGGCCGACCAATTAACCCACTAACGGTGTGAAAATCGGCCAATTTTCGACCCGTCTATGGCCTGCATTACTCTTGAGAGGGTAATTATATGCATTTTTGCCCTATAGAAGCGCTCACGGAGTGTTCACCTTTAATATACTTTATTATTTATTTATTTATTTATTTGTTTATTTTATTTAGTTGAGTTATTTATTTATTTTAATATTTTTTTATTTTTGAGATATATTTATTTATTTATTTTATTTAGCTGAGTCATTTATTTATTTTAATATTTTTTTTATTTTTTTATATATATTTATATTTATTTATTTATTTTATTTAGTTGAGTCATTTAATATTTTTTTATTATTTTTGGTATATATTTATAATTATTTATTTATTTTATTTAGTTGAGTTATTTATTTATTTTAATATTTTTTTTAAATTTTTTGGTATTATATTTATATTTAATTATTTATTTTATTTAGTTGAGTTATTTATTTATTTTAATATTTTTTTTTATTTTTGGTATATATTTATATTTATTTATTTATTTTATTTAGTTGAGTCATTTATTTATTTTAATTTTTTTTTTTATTTTTGGTATATATTTATATTTATTTATTTATTTTATTTAGTTGAGTTATTTATTTATTTTAATATTTTTTTTATTTTTGGTATATATTTATATTTAATTATTTATTTTATTTAGTTGAGTTATTTATTTATTTTAATATTTTTTTTTTATTTTTGGTATATATATTTATTTTATTTAAGTTGAGTTTATTTTTTTAAAAATTTTTTTTTTATTATTTATATATATTTTATTTATTTTTTATTTTAATATTTTTATTTTTTTTAATATTTTTTTTTATTTTATATATTATTTATATTATTTATTATTATTTTTTTATTTATATTTTTTAGTTTTTATATTTATTTATTTTTATTTTTTTTTTTTTTATTTATATATTTAATATTTATTTATTTTTGGTTTTTTTTTTTGTATTTTTATTTTTATTTATTTTTAATAGTGTAAAATATGATCTATTCACGCGTTACTCACTATTTTTGAATTTGGTTTTTATTTATTTTATTTTTGAGTTAATTTTTATTATATTTTAATATATTTTTTATTTTTTTTTAATTATATTTTATATTTATTTTATTTTTAGTTTGAGTTTTTTTATTTATTTAAATTTTTTTTTTTTTTTTTTATATTTATTTATTTTTGTTTATTATATGTTACACTGTTTTGTCCCATTTATTTATTTTTATTTTATAGTGTACAAAGAGTAATATCTCACGATTCACGCGTTACTCACGTTTTTGAATCTTGGTTTATTTTTTTATTAATTTTTAGTTGAGTCATTTATTTTTTAATATTTTTTTTATTTTTTGGTATATATTTATATTTATTTATTTAGTTGAGTTATTTATTTATTTAAATTTTTTTTTTTTTTTTTTTTTATATATTTTATATTTATTTATTTTTTTTTTTTATGAGTGTACACTGTTTGTCCATTTATTTATTTTTTTTATATGTACACAAGTGTTTTTATCACGATTCAAATTAAATTTTTATTTATACGTTTTTTTTTTTTTTTTTTTTAAAAATGGTTTTATTTATTTTATTTAGTTGAGTCATTTATTTAATATTTTAATAGATATTTTTTTTATTTTTTGGTATATATTTTCATTTTATTTATTTTTATTTATTTATTTTAGTTGAGTTATTTATTTATTTTTAAATAAATTTTTTTTTTTTTTTATTTTTGTATATATTTATATTTATTTTATTTTTTGTTTTATTTTATTTTTTTTTGTACACTGTTTGTCCCATTTATTTATTTATTTTATAGTGTACACAGAGTGATCTCACGATTCACGCGTTATCACGTTTTTGAATCTTGGTTTATTTATCTTATTTAGTTGAGTCATTTATTTATTTTAATATTTTTTTTTATTTTTGGTATATATTTATATTTATTTATTTAGTTGAGTTATTTATTTATTTAAATATTTTTTTTTTTTTTTTATATATTATTTATTTTTTTATTTTTTTTTATGATTTGTACACTGTTTGTCCATTTATTTATTTTATTTTATATATGTACACAGAGTGATCTCACGATTCAAATTATTTTTTGAATCTTGGTTTATTTATCTTATTTAGTTTTCATTTTTTATTTATTTTAATATTTTTTTTTTGATTTTTGGTATATATTTATATTTATTTATTTAGTTGAGTTATTTATTTATTTAATTTTTTTTTTTTTTTTTTTTTTATTATATTTATTTATATTTTTGGTTTGTGAGTGTACACTGTTTGTCACATTTATTTTATTTATTTTATAGTGTACACAGAGTGATTTCACGATTCACGCGTACTATGTTTTTTCTTGGTTTATTTATCTTATTTAGTTGATGTCATTTATTTATTTTAATATTTTTTTTTTATTTTTGGTATATATTTATATTTATTTATTTAGTTGAGTTATTTATTTTATTTAATTTTTTTTTTTTTTTTTTATTATGTATATATTTATTTTATTTTTGGTTTGTGAGTGTACACTGTTTGTCACATTTATTTTATATTTATTTTATAGTGTACACAGAGTGATTCTCACGATTCACGCGTTACTCTCACGTTTTTGAATCTTGGTTTATTTATCTTATTTAGTTGAGTCATTTAATTTATTTTAATAATTTTTTTTTTTTTTTGGTATATATTTATATTTATTTATTTAGTTGAGTTATTTATTTATTTAATTTTTTATTTTTTTTTTTGTATATATTTATTTATTTTTGGTTTTGTGAGTGTGTACACTGTTTGTCACATTTATTTTATTTTATTTTATAGTGTACACAGAGTGATCTCACGATTCACGCGTTACTCACGTTTTTGAATCTTGGTTTATTTTTGCATCGTATTTGTTTTTCAGTATATATTTATTGGTTGGTAAAGACGATTCGATGTCATACACTATTTTAGTTTCATTTTTTTGAGGCATCACTGATCTGGATTGACGGGAATATTGAAGTTGGACACAGAATATTTATTTATTTTGGACATTATTTATTATTTTATAGGTATACGCCTTGACCGACACAAAAAAAGGTTTATTAATAATATTCAATGTCCTGTCAGATTCAGAGTCACATGACGAGTGAAAACCAACAAATTTTACGGAAAGGCGAGAAGAAAAACATGTAAAGACTTTTTATGCGCTTTTACCTGAATTTTTTTTTTTTTTTTTTGGAAAACGGTGAGAGGGTTTCAAAATTCCGTCAGTGGCAGGACGGGGGGGGATCAAAGAGAAAATATTTTTTTTCCTCGTGTTCATAACGTGGCGGGGATTCAACATGAGCGCTTGCATAAATCATATTATTTGAAGCTAATATAAACCTAATTAGCGCAGCCTAAACGGTTGTCACCGTAAACGTGTTTTGAAAACAGGCAGCGCCGGGGAAGCGTATTGGCACCACAAATAGTGTCACACTCAGGATTCGACGTGTTGATGCGTCTCGACGTGACGCCTGACAAATCAACATTTCAGAAGGTAATTAACTTTAAAAACTTCAATTAACGAGACAGCTGTTTTTTGAGGATCGCGCCGTCAAAAATGCCTCCAAAAAAAAAAAAAAAAAAGAGGAAGTGGCGAATCTGTATTGCAGACCTCCGTCTGTCTTTTTGTGCTAGCTTCTAAAATGAGTCGACTTTCGGGGGTGGGGGGGGGGGGCAAGGTCCAAATCAAGAATTTATTTTCAGATAGTATGTAACAGAAGATAGTTATGTCCCACCCCTGCCCAGTACCCAAACCTCACTATAGGTCAGTAAAGTTTCTTCTGAAAATGATGGACCAATAGAAGGGTGCTTAATATAGGCAGGGGCGGGCCAAAGTGTTGGCTGGGTGTCACTGCAGGACATGGAGGTTGTGTAGGAGAATAGGTACTGGGGGGAGGGGGTGCTTGGAGGCTCTGCAGCAAGCTAGGGACCAATAGAAGGGTGTCTAAGGCAGGCAGGGGTGGGCCAAAGCTTTGACTTCAGAACTGGGGGGGGGGGCTTGGAGGCCCTGCAACAAGCTAGGGACCAATAGAAGGTTGTCTAAGGCAGGCAGGGGTGTGGGCCAGAGTGTTGGCTGGGTGTCACTGCAGAACAAGGAGGTTGTGTAGGAGAATAGGTACTGGGGGGGAGGGGGGGGTGCTTGGAGGCTCTGCAGCAAGCTAGGGACCAATAGAAGGGTGTCTAAGGCAGGCAGGGGTGGGCCAAAGCTTTGACTTCAGAACTGGGGGGGGGGGGGCTTGGAGGCCCTGCAACAATCTAGGACCAATAGAAAGTTGTCTAAGGCAGGCAGGGGTAGGTGGGCCAGAGTGTTGGCTGGGTGTCACTGCAGAACAAGGGGGTTGTGTAGGAGAATAGGTACTGGGGAGGGGGTGCTTGGAGGCTCTGCAGCAAGCTAGGGACCAATAGAAGGTTGTCTAAGGCAGGCAGAGGTGGGTCAAAGCATGGGCTGGGTGTCACTGCAGGACATGGAGGTTGTGTAGGAGAATAGGTACTGGGGGAGGGGTGTGCTTGGAGGCTCTGCAGACAGCTAGGGACCAATAGAAGGGTGTCTAAGGCAGGCAGGGGTGGGCCAAAGCTTTGACTTCAGAACTGGGGGGGGGGGCCTTGGAGGCTCTGCAACAAGCTAGGGACCAATAGAAGGTGTCTCAGACAGGCAGGGGTGGGCCAGAGCTTTGGCTGGGTGTCACTGCAGGACATGGGGGTTGTGTAGAAGAATAGGTACTAAGGGGGGGGCTTGGAGGCTCTGCAGCAAGCTAGGGACCAATAGAAGGGTGTCTAAGGCAGGCAGGGTGGGCCAAAGCATGGGCTGGGTGTCACTGCAGGATATGGGGGTTGTGTAGGAGAAATAGGTGCTGGGGGGCTTGGAGGCTCTGCAGCAAGCTAGGGACCAATAGAAGGGTGTCTAAGGCAGGCAGGGGTGGGCCAGAGCGTTGGCTGGGTGTCACTGCAGAACAAGGGGGTTGTGTAGGAGAATAGGTACAGGGGGGGGGGGCCTTGGAGGCTCTGCAGCAAGCTAGGGACCAATAGAAGGTTGTCTAAGGCAGGCAGGGGTGGGCCAGAGTGTTGGCTGGGTGTCACTGCAGGACATGGGGGTTTGTTGTAGAAGAATAAGTACTTGGGGGGGGGTGCTTGGAGGCTCTGCAGCAAGCTAGGGACCAATAAAGGGTGTCTAAGGCAGGCAGGGGTGGACCAAAGCTTTGACCTCAGAACTGGGGGGGGGGGGGGCTTGGAGGCTCTGCAACAAGCTAGGGACCAATAGAAGGGTGTCTAAGGCAGGCAGAGGTGGGCCAGAGTGTTGGCTGGGTGTCACTGCAGAACAAGGGGGTTGTGTAGAAGAATAGGTACTATGGAGGGGGGGGGGCTTGGAGGCTCTGCAGCAAGCTAGGGACCAATAGAAGGGTGTCTAAGGCAGGCAGGGGTGGACCAAAGCTTTGACTTCAGAACTGGGGGGGGGGGGCTTGGAGGCTCTGCAACAAGCTAGGGACCAATAGAAGGGTGTCTAAGGCAAGGGGGGGGCCAAAGCATGGGCTGGGTGTCACTGCAGGACATGGGGGGATTGTGTAGAAAGAATAGGTACTATGGAGGGGGGGGGGCTTGGAGGCTCTGCAGCAAGCTAGGGACCAATAGAAGGGTGTCGCAGGCAGGGGTGGGGCCAGAGCATTGGCTGGGTGTCACTGCAGGACATGGGGGCTGTGTAGGAGCATAGGTACTAATAACGCATTTCAACATATATATATTGAATACGGCCAAAATTGTAGTATTTCAAAATATATGTCAATATATTTGTGAAGAATATTTTTATAAATATATTTAAAATATATTGTTCTTCCATATGGGTGACTATATACATAAGCTCCTCCCACCTGGTCATTTCCTCTTAAACAAACTTTCTCATTTAAATGTCGAACAACATGCAGTTGTGGTGCGCTCTTCCTTCATTGTATTTACATTTTTGAAAAACAAATGAAATATATGTGAAAACAAAATGTTTGATGTAAATGTGAACCTAAGGACACAACTGGGGGGGGAGGGGGTGGGGAAGGAGCCATAGAACCGGAGAAAGAAAAAGGGGGTCGGCACTTTGGCAGCAGCTGATTGACATCAATTTTGGGCGAGTGGGATCATCCTTCGATAGCCATACAACGCACGTTGATATGAAATGTATCTTTTTTTTTCCACTGGACAAATATTTAAGCAATATTCTCCGCCTGTTTACCTTGCGAGGCGTCTGACAGAAATAGCGGCTTTCCTGATGACATTTTAACAAGGTTCGTCTTAATGGGTTTGACATTTCTCCAGACCTTAGGGCTTATTTAAGGCGAAAGTCTCTTGTGCAATTCCAACCGGAGCCTCTGAATTCATAATTAAATCGGTGCAAAGTGTCACTTTTGATTACTTTACAGGAGTTGTCTATGTAATTAGCATTTTTGTTATCTGAACGGAGAGATGAGTGAAAAATTCTCTGGGACTTGCATGAAAGACGGTTTTGTGATCCTGTGTGTGTATTCTAAT